GAGATGGGACAAGGACTCCCAATCCAAATCAGAATGGGAATCAAGGAGCGAAGTGCTATAAATACAAGAAATTACGCAATAGAAAAGGCCCTTCACAATCAGCATACAATTGCCCTGCGCAAAACCTCTCAAACACCTTGAGATTTTTCCTTTTCTTTTCCTGCCGACACACCTTCAGTTTGGATAAACAGCACTGTGGAAGCAACCGGTGAGCACCTTCAGTTTGGATAAACAGCACTGCCGCCGCAGAATCAGTCGACCGAGAAACACCTTCAGTTTGGATAAACAGCACTGCGTCGAGGTCGACCGATTATCTATCTAAGTCTCGGCCGAGAAGGGTTTTCGAACCTTTGTTGGTGGAAGTCATCTAACTAAGCCTTTTCGGCATAGTTGGGTGTTACGAGTTGCATTGCTCGGCGTATTGGACGTCGAGTGAGTTTATGATTGGATACTCGCAAGTAAGTTTCAGGGTTCGGCATTCCGACGGCCGAACTACGTTTACCATCAAGACATACATCACATTCGAGTACCTGTGCCCATATAGTTTGGTCTCGATTCGGCGTGCTTATACTCTTACGAATATAATCACAGTGACCGAATCAGGGTCCGACGACCTGTGAACTCCGTAGAATTAGTAGCCTTGTCTTCAGGCTATAGAACCCAGAGACCGAGAGCGTTCCTTCCTCGGTCGCAATCGCAAGATACAGAAGTCGATAGCGCACCCAACGCGACATCACATTTTACTCCTCGGCCGAGCTCGGCCGACGAGTTGGCACGCCCCGCATTCAACCGAAGGACGTAGTTAGCTCATTAGTTACTCGGCCTGCGCGCCACGTAGGTTTTGTAATTTTTGTAGCCAACAATAACATAACGTTGTCCTTGACACTTGCCTTGTTTCAGTTTGTGGTCCATTCAATTATGGATGCAAGACTGCTCATCTTTGGAACTAAAATTGATTGATTGCCCAGCACAATTAGGCCTTTGACATATCTATTGTCCCATAATTTGTGCCATCTTCATGTATGAAACAAGGGGAGGTTCTTAAGCTTTTGTGTGGCCTTGATTTGTCCTCAATGTGCAAAACAATGGAAAGAAACCCCTAAAACTGATTGGTTGAGAGTCTTGAAACTTACCTACATTTAGGACGCCACTGGTCACGCTAGGCCCCTCGCCGTGTCGTGCAGCTAGAGGGACTACCTTAGTAAGACAGAGTACAGAATATCAAATTTTGATTCACAAGATTCAAAGAGGCAGAAGCCACATGGGTTTGCAATTCCATTACCCTTTGAAATTTGCCTCGTCCACCTTTCATTAGACATCATTTCCATTTTTTTTTCTTGTTTTTTGCAATAATTAAAATATGTTTAATTAGGAACAACGCACTTAGAAAATACAACATCTTCATATTTAGCTACTAATGTTATAGTTTAGTGGTATTTATCGTTTTTATAAATAAGAGATTTTAAGTTTGACTCTCATAAATGATAATTTTTCCACATCATTATATAGAGCCGATCTTTTGTGTGACCAAGTCTTCACATTCAGTATCGTTGTATCAAAAGAATATTTTCGGGTTTAAGTTTTCTTTTGTCACACATGTAGTATGTGACTCTACGGTGACTTCCGCCATCATTCTTTTGTTCACTAAAACCATCATCACCCATCACTGATTGGAGTGGCAATTGGTATCTTATTAATTCAAGTTTAATTACAATAATACAGAATGGTTGACTATAATCAAACACCGTCCCATGCGAATTATTATATAAGCACCATTTGCCGAAAAAAATAAATTATTATATAAGCACCAGATTCATCTTGTAATTATGTTTCTTTGATATTAAATTCCATAATTAGGGAGAACATCCCTCTCCTTCACCTGAAAACTCAAGAGTCAGCACTTGAATGATAATCCTTCTGTGGTGAATATCTGCCAATGCACACTACAAGTTAAACAAAACTTATAATAGTTAAACATGTGGGGGCGGCTGTTTGATTACGACTAATTACGAAAGCAACGTTGTTTGATTAGTGTAATAAACAAGGCACTGATTCATGATTAACTAATAGACTCTTTATAGTGTATGTATTAGAGGTTAATTAGGTTATTGGCCTTGTTGTGCGGTTGCAAACGTATGAGCTGGAATAACAGTTATCTTCCCTACTTCTGTAGTTCTGTTTTTATATATACACACCATATTCCATCCTTATCCCTGCCCTTAGCTAGGGTTTTGCCCCTTTGGTTGATTCGCTTGGACAGAGTTGTCATTGTCCTAAGAAGTAGTTACGCATTTAGCTTGTTTTAAAAGCTGTTGGGCACTATTTCCTTACAAACTGTTTTAGGAGTAAATTCTGCCGATGCGCTTTTAACTATTGCTACCAAACCGTAGTTTCACCACACAACTAAGCCTAGACTCCAAGGAAGCGCGGTGGAATAGTAGGACACCCAATTATTCCACATCTGAAACTTAACTCATCTTGAAACTGGGTTAATCTGTTAGGCGATCTATAGTTAGCCGACACAATTGTCTCTAACTGTAGACGTGTTAATGCCTAATTTTTTTATTGTTAGGGGACCCGGTTGATTGTCCTGCATTGGAAGAATAACGTTTGTTGGGTTGGTTAAGAGCTCTTGAGGACGCTTCTCTTACAAACTCTTGAAGGCGCAAGTTTTGCTTATGTGCTGTCAAGAACTGGTATCAAACCCTAGTTTCACCGTGCAATACTGAGCCTAGACCCCTCAGAAACATGATGTAAAGTCAGGACCCAATTGTTCCGTGTTGGAAAACCTAGCATACGATCTTGAGCTTGGTCGATCCGTCAATCAGTTATATCATGCATGTATGTGTCAATGTTAATGTCGGTATAAAAAACAACAAATATCGCTTCATATGCCTTAGCTAGCTATTTGCCTTTATATCATGATCACGAATCAAGATTATTCAACACAAGATAAAAAATATGACTCAGGATTTTGTCAATTAGATACATATGTCAGTGTGTCTATGCATGCTTCGCTATCTGCAATGAAAAGATACATGATCTTTTTCTGTTTGGGGGACCAAAGAGTAGATTACCAGTGATGTTTCCTTCTCTCCAGAGATGGGCTCACGGTTTTCAGTATTCATGAGGGAAGTTCCTAATTAATGTAAAAACATAAAGTCTCATAAAACTCATTTGCCTTGATAAAATATATAATTTGAGATGTAAATTAACTGTTGAAGAATAACTGACACCCCATAAAAAAATCCTTTGAAGAAGAATACTTTGTGTGGCCAAATACGTTTCTGAAACAGTAGTAGAGGTAATTAAACCAAACATTCTGTAATTATATTGAGACAAATAAAAAGGTTATGAATTCTAATTATCACATACACGGACGGTTGGACTCGTATTTTCGAAGAATTCAAAGGAATCTTATTAGTATCTCACACACTATCTTTTTATTTCGGAACATCATATAAAATAAATCAAATATAAACAACGAACAAAGATTAAACATTGCACGCAATCATGCATGAACTAAGTACATAAAGCATATGCATGAAATCCAATATCCTAATGGATAAAGTGTTGAGTTTCTCATCCATGCGCCTAGGGTTCAAAACTCTTCCATTGCACGGAATCATGCATGAACTAAGTACATAAAGCATACGCATGAAATCCAATATCCTAATGGATAGAATGTTGAGTTTCTCATCCATGCATCTAGGGTTCAAAACTCTTCCTTCCTGAATTATTGTAATAATTCGAAACCGTTCCCCTTCTCTTTAATAATAAAAAAATTATAAAAAAATAATAATTACACAAAGCATTGTTGTTGGACTTTATCAGGCCCTTGAACTTTGACAACGAACTAATTATCGGGCATATCGGCCTAATTCTAACCTCCTGCCAATAGGCCCATATCCACCATATGTGCTTCATGAAGGCCCAAATGCAAATTTGAATGCTCCCGGAAATGATATTAGACGATAGGCAAAAGGGAAAATAATCATGCTTTTCTGAGCTTCTTCACATATTTGTTTAATTTTGTCCGTTAATTCCATTTAATTTATTCAATCAAATAGCCAAAAATAGAAAGTGATGTTTTTTTCTTCTAAACAACGATCTTATATACATAGGGAGGGGGTGAACCTAGCCTAACAATGAGCTAGCAATTATATGGTTCAATTATGCGGGCTCATGTTCTCCTCCTCTACGAGTGGCATGTAGAATGAATGAGAATGTCTTAGTGAAAATCTAAGCCGTTAATTCACGTGGATGATAAGATCAACAAAGTATATTCAACCATAAATAGTATTTCTCAGCACTGTAGTTAATATTTGGCGTTGAATTTCATTTAATTGTAAATCTATAAAAATATATTGTGAATAGTAATTGTACCAACTCAAACAAGTGCACTAAAACAGTTACATTTCATGTTGTACTTAGATGGCTGCGTAGTCTTCAACAAAAGTCCAATTGACCTCCTTCTGTTGAATTACCTATTTCAGCCATAGGATGGTGTACATGATCTGGTCATGAATATGCACATGCTGCCTGGCCTGGCTTTCTTATTGGGTTGTTTTCTCAATTGAATATGCATATAAAAGGAAGATTAATGAAAATGACTTGAAAACTTTAAGTTTTAATAATAAATACAAAATAAAAAGTAAAGTGAATAGTACTAGAATTAACTTTTTAGTGTAAAAATATGATTTTTCGTTAAAATGAACAGTATTGGAAGTTTTTGTTAAAGTCCCCTATAAAAAATAGTTGGTTCTTTACTGAAATTTTTTATCTAAACTTTATTAAACTTTTAACATTACAACAAACACATGACGAAATAGGTTAATAAACCCGCAGTCGGTAGATTATTATAGTGGTTGGGGTATTCTCTTCAGCTCATTAGAGCTCCAGCGGCCAAATTAAGCATCAGATTAGACACCTACCTCGTATTCCATAAAGAGTTCAGCACCCAACTACCGAACATTTAAAAAGAGAGTGAAACAATTCAGTAGCACAATTAACTTTTGTTTCATACTTATTAACTATAATCATGTACTCATGTAGATTGAGCATGAAGTGATATGCTATCTCTTACACACAATTTATCGAAGTGTTACATGTCCCACAGTAGTTTCCGTTCGACGGTTTGAACATGGAAAGTTTCGATGGTGGTTTCCACTCGAAATCTTCTGTGCAGCAAATACTCTTTATCATAGAGTTTGATAATGCCAAGCCAAACAGTTTAGGTCACTAGGATTATCAGGGCATTCTGTCGCCCGCCGATCTTCCTTTGAACTTTGAAGTGATGACAGTGAATCCGGTATTGCGCTTCTGCAAACCTTCTCACCCCTTCATTCCACACCACAGGGCATTTCGTGACAGTTCTGCACGAAAATCAAATAATACAGGAAATTCATACGTCAGAACAAATACAAAAAACTAGAGACAGATGGAGAGACACAATAAACTATAGGACACGACCATATTTAAATGACGTATACATACATAACATAGAGGGATTAAGACTGCCCATACATTCTAACCGTATGTGAAACCAACACAAAATGATATCAACTTCTCATTAAAAAATGAGTAAACTACTGAATCTCCCCCTGACCTTTCACTTAACTTTCAATTTACCCCTCAACTCTTTAATTAGAAAATCAAGGAATTAAACTATTTCTTTTACCCGATTCCCCCCTACCAGTAGTTTTACATAGACTTCATCCACAGTAATGTTAACTCTAATCATATGCACACCACATGACTCTCATTTGAGGACAAAAATGTCACTTCACTAGATCTGCTGACACAAACTATAAAATCACAAATCTGCACAGGTCAACATCTTATAAATCTAGGGATTTCAATTCTTTTAAAGAACAAAACGACCGAACTACCCTCACATATTGCGCACATCCATTTAACATAAATTTGGATGGAATGAATGAAAAACTAACAACAGGGGGAAATAGGCCAACAAATTAGTTTGAGTCCTAATTTTCCAATTGAAAAGTTTAGAGAGAAACCGAAAGCTAAGTGAAAGTTCAGGAGAGAAATCGGCAGTTTACTCTTAAAAAACAGCCAATAACATCAAAACAAGAAGATGATGAGGTTCCGCACACCATTACCATTTGTGTCATAAGATAACAGTTTAGACTGCTACACCCAAAGATGAAATGGGACGTTCCCACCCCGTCCAGAGAACATAAACTTCATCATGGTGTTCAAGGTTGAAAGGTGGCAAAGTGCCAAACCTGAATGTTGAGTTCAGAAGGTCACAAAAAGGACAGCGAGATGACGACACTGGTATTGACGCGGTATTTTTTTCCAAATTCAGCACCAAGGCCACCAAACTGACCCTTTTTAAGAGCAAATAAAACAGGACTTTGGTAAGTAACAAGAAATATCCACGTCTTTATGTTGCACACCTGCCTGCTATGGAACAAATTTAGTTTTTAGTACACCTTAACGGCAATCGTTTATGTATTTCATTATCGTCCTAGTTTATCAACTGTTGTAATCATTAAACCCAAAAGCCTCTTCAGGAACTTGGATAACATCAATGGGAAATAATGCAACTCATCTGAAGAGCTTAAACAGCCCCCTTCAAAACAAATGTTCATGTTGTGATGTCTAGTCAATGATCATGATTAAACAATGTAAAATTTATTAAAATATAACGAAAATGAGTGAAATGAACAGAAGGAGATTAACAAAGAATACAGAACCACACGAAAGAAGTAGCAGCCAACTTTAAGTTCTAGTTGTAGCAAAAACTCACTTCTGTATTCCATGCACAAGGGAAGTACGCAAGAAAATTAATTAGTTCAGGAATAATCAACAGCCCTAAAGACTTTCTTAGGCACAGCATAAAAGAGAAATGGCAATAAAAATAAAACAATGGACATTAAATACCTATATGGTTAACATGGAATTTGCTACTTCAAAATACCAAGATTCTAGGACGCAATAAAGACCATCAAGTTGAGAATTATGCAAGAATAACGTAAAACAATGGAGAGAAGGAGAATCAACACTTCGTTAGAAATAATTAGGTCTTAGAAAGCAATGGACACATACAGTTAAAACAGTGTGAAGGTAGAAATATAATAGAAAAGCAAAGTTCAAATATACTCAAACCATGTTAAAATTTAAATATGTAGGAGATCAATGAGTGAAAATAGGAAACAAACTAATATTAGGAGTTACACACAAGCCTGAATTAAACACAAACCCCATTGTAATATGAATAAAAAAATATACTTTAACCGGTGCATGAAGTGCTCTGACAATTCATACAATTCCATGAACTAAACAAGGTAATGACTGATAAATATCCAAGCTTGGGAAACTTAAAATCATATTCCCAGAGACACAAGCCATTTATTTCAGATCTCAGAAAATTTAAGCCATTTGATTATGCCCACCAAGACCAAATAGTTAGAGAACCAATTTGGGAAGATTTTTCATTTCATGACATTTGGGTGGTTCTCAAACCGAGAAGCCTTGAGCAAGGTGAAGTGCAATCATTCTAAAAACTCCAAAACACAAGTCTTGAGCCATATGATGCTTACTAATATGTAATCAATTTATAAATACATCTCCATGACTCGAGTTCATTATAAGCTTCTCATTGCCATGAAATAAAGAAGAAACCAAAAGTTCATCATCACCAACTAGTAATTGATCTAACCCGTCGTAGAAACTAAACCAACTTATGCGACTAATGCAGAAGTATGGACATAGCTAATGATATTTCGTCTTGCAACAAAATATCCACAAAGAAAATTTAAAGAACAATACATATGTAAAAACAGTAATTAATTCAAAAAAATGAAACCACAGTAAAGATTCTCTCAAGCACATAATAAAAGAGAAATTGGCAATGAAATTGAAGCCATGAATATAATGATATTAGGATTGGCAGAGAAAAAAAACTTGGAATATGTCACTTCCAATACTAAGATTCTAGGAAGCAACAAAACCCACCAAGTACCAGAAAAAAGGAGGATCAAACCTTCGCTACAAAGTGAGAGAAACATGTTATTAAGAACAGTGTGTATGGATAGAAATATTACAGAATAGCAAGACCAAACCTACTCAAATACCATATTAAAATAGAGATGAATAAAAATAGGAAACGAATTAAGACAAAGATATCTGAAAGGGCTACTAACATAAGTCTGGAGAACATAACAGAAAAATCCGAACACATATTAAGAGTTACACACAAGTCCAAATTGTAATATAAGAACATTAATTCTCAAGACAAAAAAAACACAATATTTTAACTAGTGCATAAATTAGTCTAGAAAATTTTGATAAACAAGGTAAAGAAGCTCAACCGGGGAGTTCAATCAAAAGGATTTTCCAAGGCATATTCAAGCCATTTATTTCAGACTAAAGCTAATTAAGTCATTTACTTATGTCCAAACAGAATATGTGGGTTAGGCCAATTGGCTAGGACAACGTAAATGCCCGGAAAATTTAGACTCATAGTTGAGTCTTAAAAAGAGAGGCAAGGACTCACCAATGCACAGAAGACTTGGACCATCTCCTACGCAATAGAGAATTTGGACTCGATTCTCGTATTTGAGTCTACATATGAATCAAAACATCTCCAATTCACCAGATACTTAGGAATTATATACAAGTTTCCAGCTAATATGAGACCCAAAATCGGAGCCTATGGTGGATCCCATGCCAACCATCTCTAATACACATACCAAAATTGTTAAAAATCACATTGAGAGTTTTGACATTCAGGTTTTCTCTTCCAATGCACATACCTTAATTGTTAATACTGAATATTGGTTTGACTCCAATGTTTTCTATTCCTAGGAATAGACCAAATCTTAACAATATGCATAGGAAGAGAAAACCAAACACTCAAACCCACCACTATTTTTGGACTCAAATATAAAAATATAAGTCAGGAATATAAATCTTCCGTCATAGATGACCTACGTACCATTTGTTCCAAAATTTATTAATTTGTTATTTTGTGCTAAAACCTGGAATTGGCCCCAATATGAACCTCGTTCAAACCTTCATATGTTACAGGAACTCTGTGATTGAAATCAACAACCATATATTTTTCAATAACAACCTGCTTCGCACAATTAGTCTGGTACATATATATTGTTCAGACTTACAAGCTAAGTTTCTAATCTGACGACAATTGTCCAACATCTAACCTTCTAATCTGACGACAAGTGTCCAACATCTAATAAGGGACCCTTGAGCTACTACAATTTACTCATACACTCCAATTTGGATAACCATTTCTAGTATCCTATCAGGCTTTGGGATAGGTCAACTGTAATCATAATCTGTTTAAAACTTCAAACTCACATGGAAAACGGATTAGCCATGTAATGTTCTTCAAACCCGTCCTGGAAAGAGGGCATCTGGTGTAATGCTTACTACTTTGTAATTAGTTCTTAAATCCATTTTCCATGACTCACGTTCATTATCATCAACTAATAATTGACCTAACCCATTCCACAAACTAAACCAACATATTTTAAGTTACCCCGAAAGCATGGCGATAATGAGTATTTCTCCCCCAAAACAAAATATCCAGATTAAAAATTTGAGCATATGTAAAAACAGTACGAAACAGAAAAGAAATCGATAACTGGAGTACAATCAAGGAGATTACAACTGATACGTACCTTGGTGATTAAACATGCGCCAAATTAATGGAAGCAGAATCTGCTGCTGCTCACTGACGCCTAGACATCAAGAAGTACTACACTTGTACTGCCTACCAAATATAATTACAAGGCAACGACCAGTAAATTAAACATAAGAAAAGAACAATATAAACTAAAATTATATTTGCTTCAATAACAGGACACATTTCTTTTTTTCTTTCTTCCTTTTTTTTTTTTTTTTTTTTTTTTTCTCTTCTTCTGAAAAGGAATTTTGGTTTAAGAATCTCACTTATGACACAAAAAAAGCTGAGATCTGGCCAGATGGGAAAAGAGTAAAATGTGTCCATATTTAGCAGAGCTCTGACCTTAGGGTTTATGTTTTTTTTTATCAGCCGATTTGGGGAGAAGAGCTGAATGTATATTTGTGTAATAATTTACAGTTTTTATATGACATGCACAGAGAAATAAACTTGCATGAAGAAGAAGAAGAAGAAGAAGAAGAGGGTTTTCATAATAAATAAATAAAAGAATAATTGTGGGAGTTTCCATGAAAATAGAAGAGGGGTTCGGAGGGTTTTCATAAAATAATTATATATATATATATATAAAAGAAAAGAATAATTGCGGGAATTTCCATGAAAATTTGAACAGTAAGATAAGAATAAGAAGGCGTACCTTGAAGAAACATCAGAACCCCAAATCGTCCTCTTCAAACCATTTGAAGGTCTAGGACAGTATATTAAAAGACCACGCTTCCAACTAAAGTCATTCTTTACAATTTTAAATTCAATAAAAATTAATAAAACAGGAAAAATTAAATACATTAAAATAACTTATCTTGTATTTTCATTCCTTTGTGATTGTGAAGTGCAGTGAGCCACGTATGGTATGGTACGTCGGTCAAATCATAAACTGAAGGACACCTGTTACCGAGTAAGATAAGGATAATAAAAACAATGACAAACCCAAAACCTCAATCATCAAGTCATCTTTCTTGATTTTAAACACCTGGAAGGAAGGAGAATTGGGAGAAAATACCTGGAAGGAGAATTGGGAGAGCAGAACGGGCGGGGCCTGGGGCTGGCCTGGTTTAATTTCCCATTCCTTTGCGGGAAGAGAAGGGGCGTTGATGAGAAATTAAGGTTTTGAACGTTGACGATCAAAATTAAGTGGTGAAATAATGCCAGCGAGCGCGCAGATAGCAGCTGACAGAGAGAGAGGTGAGCACGCACCGCCCAAAGGTATGATTTTATACAATTGCTGCCTGTGTGTGCTCACTCTCTTCTGTCAACTACGCTCAGCTTAACCTACAGTTCTCTTCCTTCTTTCTAATATATACAAATATACATATATATACAGCTAATTAGATACACCAAGTGCAATGGTCAGCCTAGCAGCTTTCCTTCACTCAAGGAATATCATGTTTTCATTAGGGTTTTGAATTCGGAATGCTGCCCGAATGCCCTGTCTACAGGATAATTCACTATTTACACAAGTGGAGTCTTTCAATTCATCATACTTGAGGAAGGAGGGGGGCCGATTTCAGATCCCCGTTATTTATAGTGAAAGCCAGGTTGGTGTATATAAGGACTCTCATCATCCATCCACGTCTGAATCGTGTCCGTGCATCCGACGTCTAATTACCAATAGTAATTCACTAATACCACTAGTAATTACGTGTTCAATTGTAGTAGTACTAGTGCTTTGGGAAGAAAAATGTCGGGAGACTCTCAAAAGTCGGCTGTCCATAAGTTCCTTCATCCCATGTTTTTTGTCACATTAACTCTGCAAACTCATGTTTTTGCCACAATTATGTGCTAACTTTTTATAATATTGTCTCAAAAACATAAGATGAGGAAGAGTTGAATTTTTAGAAAATCTCCTAAACATTTATTTTTTGAAAACTGTAAAGTTGCACCGCTGGCTTCGCACTAGTTGTGGAATGTTGTACTGAGGAGGGTCTGTAATTGCGTTGGCCTCAAAAGTCCCATTGGCCACTTCTCTATTGCGGTTGCTCCTGTTTCAGCCGTCGGATCCACGTATAATATGATTCAATCTTTAACTCAGCCTTTAGATTTAACTTAGGGTTTTATATGTATTGGAGCGTTGGTGTGGTGTTTGGTGGGGAAGTGTCAGGGGAAAGGACAACCAGCAAAATGGAAGGGAGACAAAGATAAAGACGTCCATTAAAAATCACCCACCCTTATACGTTTTCATCATATATCCCGACTCTGCATATGCCTAAACATGTGTACGCTGCCTGGCCTTCTTTTGGTGTTGTTTTCTCAGTTGAATATGCATATGATAAATAGTTGGTTCCTTACATAATTTTCCTTCATCAGAAATTTTATTAAAAAAGTTTAACGGACACATTTATGGGACGAAAAAAGCACCGAGTCCAATTAGATAACAAAATTGTAAGCGATGGATTACCCGAATAGTTATGACATTCGTCTTCAACTTATTAATGAGACATTTTGAATTAGACGCTTCATTTTTAAATGTCATAAATTAAACATCTATTCCTTTTGTAAATTTGATTAAACATTTTCCCTACAATTTTGGTACTTTAATTTTATTTCATTAGAAGTCTATTCACGTTAGTATTCTTTTTTTTCCTTCTATTTTTATGCATCTCTTATTATGATGATTTAAAAAAAAATTTAATTTTTTATTAAAATATTTATTTTAGTAAATTAAATAGAATGTAACAAAACTCGTTGTTAGGTACGTTTGATTATAATGGTATATTTAATTACTTGGTACATTTGAATTTTTTGTCCATTTGACTTCTTGGTACATTTGAATTTTTGGTATATTTAGTTTTTTTTACATTTGAATTTTTAGTACGTTTGTTTTTAAAACATAAGTTTTATTACTTTTTGTTCTAATAATGAGGAATTACTTTAATTAATTATTATTTTTTTATAGAAAGAATCGTTAACAATGTAAAAGTTTAAATTACTTTAATTAATTTTTTTTTCTTTCTAGAAAAAGTCATTAATCAACGGATAATAACATGTTTGTTAATTCAAAATTATATGATTTATCCTTATTATTTAGCATTATCTACAATAATAAGGATTTATCTCCGATCAACTAAAAGTTGTTCCAGACACTTATCTACCAAAAAACAAGACTATCTAGAGCAATCAAACATATTTGTAAACATTCCAAAAAGATGAATATTCATTTTAATATAACTTATAATTGGGTATGTTTTAATTCGGGGTTGGTACGTTTTCGTTTGACATTGATACATGTTGGTACATTTTCATTTGGTGTGGGTGTACATTTAGATTTGAAAAGTTTAAATTTTTAGACTTAAATATAGTTGAAATTATTTAAAATATATAGCAGATATTTAAATGTAAATTAATTTCAATTAATTCAAGTCTGAGTATCTTAATCAAATGTTTCAAAAGTTTAATAAAAAAACTCAAAAAACATAAATGTTTAGTCTACAAAAGTCTAAAATGAGGCACCTAATTCTAATTTTCTCATTCTTAAGAGTTATGTCCCGGTTTCAAATTCTTCACTGTACTTAGTGTATATAAAATTACAATACCAGTAGGATAATAAAACCAAGAAGTCCAAAATTGTAAAACTTTAGCCGACAAAAGGAAAAAATGCACAAATAACTAAACATCTCACGTTTCCAAAATTCAGCTTAATCACTAACCAAGTCTAAACAACTCTCAAAACTAAAATATTCTAAAATGACCCATACATTTAAGTTTTAACAACTTCTGTTATCTATCTATGGGGACAACGGCACATGATAAAGTGGAACATAAAAACAATGTTTAAAGGGCAAAGTGAGTCAAATTAACTTTCATGGGCCACTTACTATTATGATTTTATGGTATTTTTCTTTATTTGCAAGTGAGAAGTCTTAGAGATCTTAGGTTCGATTCTCGTCAAAGACAAGTTTGACATTATTCTGGCTATCCTCATCCTTTAGTGTAAATAATATCATTTATTAAAAAAAAAAAACTTTTATGGGGCAGAGGTGGGATCGAGAGACAATCAATTAAACTAGCCTATTAACAAACAAATAAAACAATGTGAGCCCTTCACTATGAATTTGTAGCCCAAACGATATTCACTATTAAGGCCTTAAATTCAGTCAACTATCTTCGAGTAATGTGTGGTACAAACTCATCGTCTATATAAATCAAATTTCACATCAGAAATTTGACAAAATAATTTAAAATTTTATGATTACATGGCCCTATTTTCAATTTTTTTTTAACAAACGATATTATCTACATTAAAGAAGAGATGACAGATTTAATCTTACAATGGTCTAGCAATACTGTTCAGTTTATAAGGGAGAATCAAATCTAAGACCTCTCACTTACAAATGAAGAGGAATATTACTAGATTGTAGTACTAAGTGACTGCTCATTTGTGGGCTCCCATCCTCCTCTACGAGTGGCTTGTACAACGAATGAGAAAATCTTACTAGAAATCTAAGCCAATATATTCAACCATGAATATTATTTTTCTAGACTGTAAATAATATTAAGGGTTGTATTTCATTTAACCGTGAATTAAAAAAAATATTGTGAATAATGATTCTCTAGCCACTATTAAACGAGTCAAATTGCACTAAGACTTACTATTCATGCAATGTTGTACTTAGGTGGCCATGTTGTCTTTAAGAGTCTCATTTGATCCGTTTCTTTAATTTGACACTTGTTGCGCTGCTTGTTTCAGCCATATTTAACTTAGGGGTTACGTTGGACCATTGGTGTGATAATCTGGTCACGAATATGCATATGCTGCCTGGCCTGGCCTTCTTTTTGTGTTGTTTTCTCAGTTGAATATGCATATGATAAATAGTTGGTTCTTTACAGAATTCTTTTATCAAAATTTGTTAAATAAACTTTAACATTACAACAAACACATTTACAGGAAATACGACAACAAAACCGCAATTGGTAGATTGTCAAATTGGTAGATCCTCTTCAACTCATTAAAGCTCCAGCGGCCAAATTAAGCATGAAATTAGATACCTACCGAGTATTACATAAAATGTTCAGCGCCAACCTACAGAACAGTCAAGAGTGATCGGAGATAAAAACAGACCCTAAAAGGAGTAGTTCGGCAAAATCTACCAACCCAGGCACTAAGAGAGTAAAACAATTTAGTAGCACAATTAAATTCCGATTCAAATTTATTAACTACCATCATGTACTCGTGTAGACTGAGCATAAAGTGATGCTATCTCTTACACACAATTTTTTTAAGTGTTACCCGTTTAACACTTTTCCATTCGACCGTTTGAACATGGAAAGTTTTCGATGGTGGTTTCCACTCGAAATCTTCAGTCATGATCATGGAGTTTGATAGTACCAAGCCAAACAGTTTTGGTCTCTGGGATTATATCAGGGTATTCCATCGCCCGCCCATCTTCCTTTGAACTTTGAAATGTTGAGATTGAATCCTGGTATTGTGCTTCTGCAATCTTTTTCACCCCACATTCCACACCATCCCTGACCCATCATCTTTCATGAAGGTTCTGCACGAAAATCAAATAACATGGGACGTTCATACGTCAGAACAAATATAGAAAACTAGAGAAACAGATCGAAACACTAAACATACAAGGGATTAAGACTGCCCATATATACATTCTAAACATATAGTGAAACCAACACAAAATAGTACCAACTTCTAATTGAAAAACAGCCAATAACGTCAGCTATTATGACATCCTAGAAAACAAGACAACGATGAGGTTCCGCACACCATTACCAGTCATGAGAAAACAGTTTCGAATGCTAAGCCCAGAGATGAAAGGAAACTGGGACGTCGCACCCCATCCTGAGAACAAAAATTTCATCATGGTGTTCAAGGTTGAAAGGTGTAAAAGTGCCATGTAAGAATATTTTAATATTCTGAAGCGGTCCACATGACACGGTCCATATGATATGTAAGGTTTAACGGATATTATTATTTGTAAATAATCCTATTGGTCAAATTATGAGAAAATGTTTCCTACTGAATTACCATGATGGGTGGTAATTGATTATGGGCTTTAAATGGAAACGGGTCCTCTCTCAGTCTCACATATATATTGCATATACCCATCTAATATGCACTTGATAGAAGAGAAAAAAAAACATGATTAGGGTTTTCACGTGCAAATAGAGGCAACAGAGAGAACACCTATTTCCTCCGCTACTGACAGAATCTGATTGGGATCTTATAGCGTTCGTTGTCATGGATCAAGGTACGCTTGGTTGTTTAAGGTATTTCCGCATTTTATTTATATGTGAAAATCATGAAGTTCGATGATCTTGGCTTAAGTGATTTATGATTTACATGTGGTATTAGAACCTAGCTGACAGCTCTCATGATTTTCCATTTACGATTATGAACTTTAACTGAATCGACTTGATTAGGGTTTTGTTTCGAAATAAATTTTGATCCGCTGTGCTATTTTGAAATAACCTAATCGTTGTTTTGAATTGTGAATGTTCTTTATATACTGTAAATTGCACTTGGAAAGAATATTTTAATTATGATGCTGCTACTTACTGTCAGCATAATTTTTAAATTTGCAAGAACGGAATCGGTGGTTAATTAGGGTTAAATGTCTGCTGTTTTGAGGTAATTTTGGGGATGGAAATTATGATGCAATCTGGGCGATTCTTTTAGTTGGAATTAGTTAAAGTAATTTGAATACTTTACGATTACAAACGTCATTCATTTAATTTGTAATTCGTCTTATGAAATTATTTGTTAGTTACCAAAGTGGCCAAACTAGAAAGATCACATGGATTCAAATTACATGATAATTAATCAATTACTCATGGCAGGATGAAGCATATGAACGAACAAAATCTTATTATGTTTTAAAGGTTTGCACATGAGCAATATGATTTTCATTTGTCATAAGTTCTTAAGGGTTACCCAAAGGTAGACTAATTGCTCGTATGATTGATGATATGAATATGGTGAGAATTGTACATTTCATTTTTTTATTTGTTCGGATATCCAAAGATAACAAAACCTGTGTTGTTAGAGATGTACAACTATCAACAAGGTATTATGCATCGATGATTGTTTGTATTGTTGTAATATCTACCCAAAGGAGAATATGATAATACACTTAATTGTTATTACACGTGTTTTTATTACTCAAAGCATTAATGTTGTGAGCACTTTTGAATTGCAGTGTTAGTGCATGTTTCTCTTCATTCGCTTTCTCCATTTATTCCCTCACTTAATGGAACAAATTTCTTAGATTGAAGTTAGCAAGTTCAGTTTTACCTTGGTGTCTTGGATCTTGATTTAGCACTCCGAACTGATAAACATGCTGCTCTTACAAATACAAGCAGCACTGAGGAAAAATCTCTTTATAATGCCTGGGAGAGATAGAATAGATTGAGCATGATGTTTATGAGAATGGCTATAGCGAGCAACATAAAGATTGGCCTTCCTCAACCTAAAACTGCTAATGAATGCTTGAAAAATATTGAGACTCATTTCAAGACTGCTGTCAAGTCTCTTGCTGGGACATTAATGGCTGAGCTTACCACCAAGAAATTTGATGGTATGCAAAACATGCATGAGCATGCCCTTGAAATGACTAATAAAGCAGCAAAGCTAGAGACTCTTGGAATGAATGTGGATGACTCCTTTCTTGTTCAATTTATTTTGAACTCCTTGCCTCCTCAGTATAAGCCATTTCAAATCAACTATAATGTTATTAAGGACAAGTGGAATGTTGATGAATTGGCCACTAAACTCGTTCAAGAAGAGGGAAGGCTTAAGCAGCAAGGAGAGCATTTTGTTCATTTAGTAAGCCAAGAAGTTGAAAGAAAATTTGGAAGAAAGCAAGAAAGGCAAAGAAAAGAGGACCACCCAAGGTGAATGGACCTGTTAATGCTACTCAGGCTCATGATAAGGAACATAAAAGTGATTTATGTCGCTTCTGTAGGAAGCCTGGGCATTATCAAAGGAATTGTCAGAAATTCAAATAATGGTTCAAAAAGAAAGGTGAGCCTTTGGCTTATGTAAGTTTCGAATCATATTTAATTGAAGTTCCTTATAATACTTAGTAGGTTGACTCTGGTGCTACGGCTTATATTTCTAATTCGATGCAGGAATTCCTTACGACCCAAACTTTAAATCCAAAGTTCATTTTCATGGGGAATCGAGTCAAAGCTCCAGTTAAAGATGTTGGAACCTTTCATTTAATTTTGGATACTGGATATTGTTTGGATTTATTTCAAACACTTTATGTTCCCAGTTGTTCCATAAATTTGGTTTCAGCTTCGAAGCTTGACCGTAAAGGATTTTTTATAAAGTTTGGTAATGAATGTTTCAGTTTATATAAGAATACCTCTTTTGTTGGTTCTGGTATTCTAATAGGTGAGCTGTATACTTTAAAGCTCAATAATCGTTTTGTTGAAACACTTTTGACCTTGCATCATAATGTTGGAACTAAGCGTAGCCTAAATAATGAAAATTCTTCATTCTTGTGGCATAAACGACTGGGTCATATATCCAAAGAAAGGTTAGAAAAATTAGTAAAGAATGAGATTCTTCCAAACCTGGATTTTACTGATCTCGGTGTGTGTGTGGATTGTATTAAGGGCAAACCAAACCAAACACGCCAAGAAAGGAGCCACAAGAAGTTCAGAGCTTCTTGAAAGAATTCATACAGACATATGTGGACCTTTTGATGCTCCATCCTTTGGTGGAGAAAAATATTTTATCACCTTTATAGACGATTATTCACATTACGGCTATGTTTATCTATTGAAAGAAAAGTATGAAGTAGTGAATGCCTTTCAGGTGTTCATTACTGAAGCTGAAAGACAATTAGATAAAAAGGTGAAGATTATCAGGTCGGTAGAGGTGGTGAATTTTATGGAAAATATGATGAGTCAGGACAATGTCCTGGTCCATTTGCAAAACTCCTTGAAAAGCATGGCATATGTGCCAAATACACTATGACAAGTACGCCACAACATAATGGTGTTGCTAAAAGGCTTAATTTTACTCTTATGGACATGGTTAGGAGTATGTTAAGTAATGCATCTTTGCCTATATCATTGTGGGTGTATGCTCTTAGAACTGCAGTATATTTATTAAATCGGGTTCCTCGTAAGGCAGTTCCCAAAATACCATTTGAACTGTCGATAGGAAGGAAACCTAGTTTAAGGCACCTGCATGTTTGGGGTTGCCCAGCAGAAAAAAGAATTTATAATCCGCATGAAACGAAGTTGGATTTTAGAACAATTAGTGGTTACTTTATTAGTTACCTAGAAAAATCCAAAAGATATAGGTTTTACTGTCCTAATCATAGTACGAGAATTGTTGAAATCGGCAATGCCAGATTCATTGAAAGTGGTGAAATCAGTGGGAGCGAAAAACCTAAAGAATTGGTCATTAATGAAGTTAGGGTGCAGATTCCTACACCTATAATTTCTAAGCAAGTTGTTCCTACACATGTTGAACCGTTAGACAATGTTGAACAACAAATTAATGACCATCCACTCCAGAATCAGATTACCACAAATGAAAATGTAGTGGAAGAACCACAAGAAATAACATTAAGGAGATCTCAAAGAGAACGGAAATGTGCTATTTCGGATGATTATGTGGTATATCTACAAGAGTCTGACATTGATGTAAGATTAAATAAAGATTCGGTTTTGTTTTCATAAGCCATTAACTGTATTGATTCTAGTAAATGGATTAATTCCATGAATGATGAGTTCAATGGACCAAAATGAAGTCTGGGATCTTGTTGAATTGCCTAAAGGTTGTAAGAGAGTTGGGTGTAATTGGGTTTTTAAGACCAAACGCAACTCTAATGGCAATATAGAACGATATAAAGCCAGATTGGTGGCCAAAGGTTTTACTTAAAAGGAAGGCGTTGATTACAAAGAGACTTTCTCACCAGTTTCAAATAAAGACTCTTTTAGAATCATTATGGCATTAGTAGCTCATTATGATTTAGAGTTACATCAAATGGATGTGAAAACAACATTCTTGAATGGCAGTTTGGAAGAAGAAGTCTACATTGATCAACCTGAAGGCTTCGCATTAAAGGGAAAGGAACACATGGTCTGTAAACTAACGAAGTCAATATACGGACTTAAATAAGCTTCACGACAATGGTATCTTAAGTTTGATAATATCATTGTATCCTTTGGTTTTAAAGAAAACATCGTTGATCGATGTACATATTTGAATGTCAGTGGGAGCAAGTTTATCTTTCTGATTCTGTATGTTGATGACATTTTGCTTGCTAGTAATGATCTTGGTCTATTACATGAGACCAAGCAGTTTCTCTCGGAGAACTTTGAAATGAAAGATATGGGAGAGGCGGACTATGTGATAGGAATTGAAATATTCTAAGATAGCTCACATGGAGTGTTGGGAATGTCTCAGAAAACATATATTGAGAGAGTTCTAGAGAGATTCGATATGGAAAAATGTTCATCTAGTGTTGCTCCAATGTAGAAAGGGGATAAGTTTAGCCTTATGCAATGCCCACAA